ATACACTAACAACAAACTATAAGAGAGGAATTAAGTATACAATCCCATTTACCATCACATCAAAAAGAATAAAATACCTAGGAATAAATCTAACTAAGGAGGGAAAATACCTGTACATGGAAAACTGTAAGACACTGATGAAAGAAACTGGAGACAACACAAACAAACGGAAACAGACACTGTGTTCATAGATAGGACTAACACTGTTAGAATGACCATACTACTCAAGGCAATCTACAGATTCAGTGCAATCCATATCAAAATACTAATGGCATATTTCACAGAACTAGAACAAATAATTCTAAAATTTGTATGGAAACACAAAAGACCCCAAATAGTGAAAACAATCTTGAGAAAGAAGAATAGTGCTATAGGTATCATGTGCCCAGACTTCAGACTATAATACAAAGCTAGCCATCAAAACAGTATGGTACTGGCACAAAAACAGACACATATATCAATAGAACAGAATAGTGAGCCCAGAAATAAACTCATACACTTATGGTCAATTACTCTACGACAAAGGAGGCAAGAATATACAGTGGAGAAAAGACACACTCTTCAATGAATGGTACTGGGAAAACTGGACAGCTATGTGTAAAAGAATGAAATTAGAACATTTTCTCACACCAGTTATAAAAATAAACTCAAACTGGATTAAGGACCTAAATGTAAGACCAGAAACCATCAAATTCCTAGAGGAAAACATAGGCAGAATACTCTGACATAAATTGTAGCAATATTTTTTTGGCTCTGTCTCCTCAGGCAAAAGAAACAAAAGCAAAAATAAACAAATGGATCTAATTAATCTTAAAAGCTTCTGCACAGCAAAAGAAACCATAAACACAATGAAAAGACAGCCTACTGATTGGGAGAAAATATTTGCAAATGACATGACCGATAAGGGGTTAATATACAAAAATATATAAACAGCTCATACAACTCAATATAGAAAAAACAAACAACCCAACCAAAATATGGGGAGGAGGGCTTCCCTGGTGGCGCAGTGATTGAGAGTCCGCCTGCCGATGCAGGGGACATGGGCTCGTGCCCCGGTCTGGGAAGATCCCACATGCCGCAGAGTGGCTGGGCCCGTGAGCCATGGCCGCTGAGCCTGCATGTCCGGAGCCTGTGCTCCGCAATGGGAGAGGCCATAACAGTGAGAGGCGTGCGTAGCACAAAAAAAAAAAAATGGGGAGGAGACCTGAATAGACATTTTTCGAAATAAGACATACAGATGACCAACAGGCATATGAAAAGATGCTCAACGTTGTTGATCATCAGGAATGCAAATCAAAACCACAATGAGGTATCACCTCACCTATAGTCAGAATGACTATATTCAGAACGACCACAAAGAGTAAATGTTGGCAAGGATGTGGAGAAAAAGGGAACCCTCCTACAGTGTTGGTGGTAATGTAAATTGATGCAGCCACTACAGAAAACAGGATGGAGGCGCCTCAAAAAAAACTAAAAATAGAACTATAAGACCTGGCAATTCCACTCCTGGGTATACATCCAAAGAAAATAAAAACACTAATTTGAAAAGATACATGCACCCCAATGTTCACTGCAGCATTATTTACAAGAGCAAAGATGTGGAAGCGACCTAAGTGTCCATCAACAGATGAAGGATAAAGAAGATGTGGTGTATATATATATATATATATATATATATATATATATATATAAATATGCAATGGAATATTAATTGCCCATAAAAGTATAAAATTTTGCCATTTGAAACACATGGATGGACCTGGGGGGTATTATGCTTAGTGAAATAAGTCAGACAGAGAAAGACAAATACTCTATATGTTATCATTTATATGTGTAGTCTAAAAAATGAAACAAATGGACGAATAGAACAGAACAGAAACAGACTCACAGATATAGAGAACAAACTATTGGTTAGTCGTGGGGAGAGGGAAGGAGCAAAGTGCAACATAGGGACAGCAGATTAAGAAGTACAAATGTTCATTGCAGCTCTATTTACAATAGCCCGGAGATGGAAACAACCTAAGTGCCCATGATCGGATGAGTGGATAAAGAAGATGTGGCACATATATACAATGGAATATTACTCAGCCATAAAAAGAAACAAAATTGAGCTATTTGTAATGAGGTGGATAGACCTAGAGTCTGTCATACAGAGTGAAGTAAGTCAGAAAGAGAGACAAATACCGTATGCTAACACATATATATGGAATTTAAGAAAAAAAAAATGTCATGAAGAGCCTAGGGGTAAGACAGGAATAAAGACACAGACCTACTAGAGAACGGACTTGAGGATATGGAGAGGGGGAAGGGTAAGCTGTGACAAAGCGAGAGAGAGGCATGGACATATATACACTACCAAACGTAAGGTAGATAGCTAGTGGGAAGCAACCGCATAGCACAGGGATATCAGCTGGCTCGGTGCTTTCGCCTGGAGGGCTGGGATAGGGAGGGTGGGAGGGAGGGAGACGCAAGAGGGAAGAGATATGGGAACATATGTGTATGTATCACTGATTCACTTTGTCATAAAGCAGAAACTAACACACCATTGTAAAGCAATTATACCCCAACAAACATGTTAAAAAAAGAAGTACAAAGGGCTATGTATAAAATAAATAAGCTACAAGGCTATACTGTAGAGCACAGGGAATATAGCCAATATTCTATAATAACTTTCAATGGAGTATAATCTATAAAATTTTGAATCATTATATTTTACTCCTGAAACTAATATTGTAGATCAACTATACCTCAATAAAAACAGATAAATAATAAATTAAATATTTTTTTTTAAATAAACTTACTTAGAACTCAAAGTCTCCTTTTTCCATAGGCACAAAATCCTCTGAGCGAAACAAAGCAACCACAATCACAAATATGGCTGGTAAGTTCAGACTGGAGGGGGACATCCAAACGCATGACAATTAATGACAATTCCTCAAATACAATTAGAAGCTATCAAGAACCTGCAGAATCCGGTGCCCTGTTGGCATCTCTGGTATGTTAAACCCACAAACCAAAAAACATTTCAACACGCCTCTATTTCAGAAAGAAGATCCTTCTCCACAAAACACTGCATCACCAGACAGCTTCAGAGAGAGGGAGAGAGAGAGAAGCGGGTGAGAGAGTAAGATGAGGGAAAGCGGGTGGGAGAGGGGGGGAGAGAGAATGGAGGAGCACTTCTAGAATTCACTCGTGCAAGCTGTTGAGATGAAGGAACACGGTTTTGAGGTTCAGCTAGAACTAATTTCTTTAGGTTTTGCAAAAGTTCAACTCTCCAGCACTTCAATTCCAACTCTTAGTATTTCCCCCTAAAAATAACAATGAGAGGGCTTCCCTGGTGGCGCAGTGGTTGAGAGTCCGCCTGCCGATGCAGGGGACACGGGTTCGTGCCCCGGGCCGGGAAGATCCCACATGCCGCGGAGCGGCTGGGCCCGTGAGCCATGGCCGCTGAGCCTGCGCGTCCGGAGCCTGTGCTCCGCAACGGAGGGGCTGCAACAGTGAGAGGCCCGCGTACCGCAAAAAAATAAATAAATAAATAACAACGAGAGGGGAAGGATGGAGAGGCCTTTCCAGTTAGATCTATGAAATGAACTAGAACTTATATTTGGAAAGTTTTCTGATAAATGGAAAATGGCTTGGACCTGAGATAACTTACGCACTCTCACATGCGGCATCCATTACAGGAGAAAGACTTCAAATGTGTGGTTGCAGCAATCAAGGCCACAAACAAAAGACATTCAAGAGAACATCAGTTGAAGCAAAAGGTCTCAGTGATACACACCTTAGTTACTAAACGGTGACACCCCCAGGAGATGATGACCCTCTCCTCGAATGCATTGTCCTGCCAGAGTTTAGATGGCAGACGAATTCTTACTCCGCCATCATACTCTTAAATCCTTTCTGAAGAACACAGGGTCATTTAAGGGAAGAGTTACAAAGCCTGGGCTCTCCCATTTCTTAAACCGAACTCAGCTTCAGAAGACCACCACCACATCCGCTGACAGGAAGCAGGGTCAGGCTCCAAGTGTCTCTGAACAATATCTCTTTCTCCGGTTTAAGCGTCCCAGAAAGGCTATTCCCCTAGCATCTACCTCGATTCTCATTAAATATCCTTTTCTCTGGTTGGTGTAGATAAAGATTTTGATCAGGGAAACCTGATCAAGACTGCAGTTTGCTGCAGAGGTGATGAGCACTTATTCAAAGCATGTGGGGGAGGAACTCTGTGATCTGCCTTCTCAGCTTGTTTAAGAGCCTCACCCAGGAAAATCGCCTTCTTACTTTACGGCCTTGCCTCATTTTTGACCCAAAACTTTTGTTCATATCATTAACTGAACTTGGCTTCAAATCACCTCTTAGTGAAGGCCAACATTCATTATTACACCTTAATTTTTTTTAATGCACCAAAATAGATGAAATAATTCAAACTGCAAGTACCATGGCAGCCATCTCACCTGTTCCTCGTTGAACAGACAGGTTCACCTGATAACCCTTCTTACTTGGATTTCTCACTCAATTCCCTTTCCCCCAAGGGATCAACAGGGCAAAAGAAAGATGACCTGACGGACTTGAAGGGGAGTCAGCAAAGGGACATTTTAACACTCAGCTGGGCCAAACTTTCCTGTGCTTGGATTTTCCTAAACAGAAGAAGGGGTGCTTATGTCAATCTCCTTTTGCCCTGGCAAGTCCCCTTAAGTAAATTCAAAATTCTAAGCAACAATCAGAAGACACATGGCTGAGATCTTCATGCATGAGTCTTTCCCTTCCTTCGCCTGCTTTTGCAACTGCACAGCTCAGAACTTGCAGTGAGGCTGCCTCTAGGGCTCCTGGAAAGACTGAAGGTGGGAGAGGAGGCCGGAGCTCCGGGACCAGCAGCTGGACAGCCTCCTCTCCCTGGAGTCCTGCTTGGGTTCATCTGACCCTTCCAGCTCTGTGCTCTCTCAGTGCCTCTCCCCACAGGTATGGCTTTCTCTCACTCACACAAAGAATACTGAAACACTTACCTAGAGAAGACCAGGAAGGAGCCTGCCAGATGTCATTCAACTGCCAATAAAGTGCCCCCATGGTGTGCCCTTCTCCATGAACTATCTCGCTGCGACTGCGGCGGTAGAATTCAGTTTCTGTTTTGACACACTGGGCCTGCATCACCTGATTCAGGGGAAAACATTACAACACAGGTGTTTTTCAAATGAACTTATCTGCAAAACAGAAATAGACTCACAGATACAGAGAACAGACTTGTGGTTGCCAAGGGGCAGGGGGAGGCTTGAACTGGGAGTTTGGGACTAGCAGATGCAAACTACTATATATAGAATAAACAACAAGGCCCTACTGTATAGCACAGGGGACTATATTCTGTATCCTGTAATAAACCATAATGGAAAATGTGAAAAAGAATATATATATATGCATAACTGAATCATGTTGCTGTACACCAGAAACTTACAACATTGTAAATCAACTACACTTCAACCTTAAAAAAAAAGATTATTCAAAAAGAGAAGCTGGGGGCTTCCCTGGTGGCGCAGTGGTTGAGAGTCTGTCTGCCGATGCAGGGGACGCGGGTTCGTGCCCCGGTCCGGGAGGATCCCACATGCCGCGGAGCGGCTGGGCCCGTGAGCCATGGCCTCTGGGCCTGCGCGTCCGGAGC